TTGTCCTCGGGCAAAGTGGGGAGAGAGAAGAGAGAGAAAACTAAGAGGTATTTCCCACACACAGCCATGTGCACTTTTCAGACTACAAGGGCCCTTTCCCCTGGATCTTCTGGATAGAAATACAGAACTCTAAGGGCTTTAACTCCCTGTGGTGCCACTATGGAGTTCTGCAACTGGGGTAACCTTGTGGGTAGGCCTGGATTTAAAAAAAAACAAATATGGGACTTGTATGCATACATATAAGCATAAGGATGGATGCAGACAGCAGTAGGTGAGGGTGAGGGCAGGACTGGGGGGGCGTGAGGGATAATGAGGTTATAAGGACACTTTTGTAATACCTTAATTAATAAAAAATGTATATAATGTAAAAAAAAATAATCAGGATAAAAAATATTTGATTCCAAAAAAATATTAAGTATATGTACACATACAATTTTCCAATGGAATCTGTGCCAATTTCTAAATAAAGCTCAATTGGATCTCAGAAGAAAAAAAAGGAAAATAAGGAAGATCCCTGCCATACTCTTTAGCTGACAGGGCCCCCTTTTCTCAATCCTCTGGTCACAAAGACAGGGATCCTCTGAGAGTTTTGTTACTTGTGCTCATGCAGTTCCACAAGTAGGGCTACCCTTGTGTCAAAGCTGGGAGAGAAAAGAGGAAAATTTCAAAACTACCCTCTTTACAGGTTGCCTCTTCAGGTTTTGACTTCCCTTCCCAATCTACTTGCTGTTGCTTACTTTTCAGTCCTCACTTAGTAGATATTGTATTTGCCTCTTGTTTTAGTTGTAATCAGTTGGAGAGATAGGTTCTCACAGGCTGACTTCACCTTGGCCAGCACCAGAAGCCAACGTTTGATATGTTTTATCTAAATATGTAACAGGCTAAGCGACCATCTGACTGGTAGCTATGACGTGCAATGACCACTAGGGGGCAGACACTCAATGCAGGGGGTGCCGAGCTGCCTTGACTTGGCATTGGTGGTTCTCAGGTGATACACCTCTGAACCAGAGACGAGGGAGCCCGATTCCGGGGAATGCCACCCGAGAACTGCCCTCTCAAAATCCGGGACCCCTTGGGGGATGTGGGAGAGCTGGTTTTGGCCCAATCCCCGCAGGGCAGGCTGAGGGACCTCACCTACCGGAGGGATCCCGCTCACTCCGCAGATGCCCTTCAAGTCACAGTGCTGCCCCAGGTGTGGCCGGCCTGTAAGGGACCTCAGGAGGTTGGCTCCAGGGTATGCCTAGCCCATCTCGCCAGTCCCACCCCGCCAGCTACCTTCTAATTAATTTCCTTTCAATGTGCACGAATCCGTGCACCGGGGCACTAGTATTTTATAATACTTTTTCAGAAACAGACCATCCTTGGGGCTAAGGGTCAGGACCATATTAAAGGTCAGAGATACGGGGTTTGGGATGGAGAGGGAGAGAAGTACTGTATGGGAGGGCCACATGTGAGGAGCATGAGACTTAAGTCATTCTTGCTATTGTTAACTTGATTGTCAACTCCATTTTTTCCCCCAGGTTTGTATGGAACTGTTACCAGCCCTGCTTCAGGAGTGCACGAAATGAAAATTGGCCCCATCACCTTCCAGGTGGCCACTGGAGATATTGCTAAAGAAGCGGCAGATGTGATTGTGAATTCAACAACAAAGACATTTGATCACAAAGCAGGTACTTTACTTGTAGGACTTTTGCAACAGTAATGGTCACAGTAGATCCCTTAAAGGGGGGTTTCTATAACCAAACTATTCTACAGTTGCTATAGCCAAACCTACAACTTTTTAGTAATATGAATTAATAATTTTAAAATTATTTTGACATGGTTTCCTATTATTGGTAACAGTTATTTCATGAATTTTTCTTCTTTTGATCAGAAATGCCCAGGTTGTAAGATTCCTTTAATAATGGGGTGGGCAATCATTGTGATCTAAGTGTACTGTACTAATTTTTTATTCATGTTTGTAAATATGTTGATGTTCTCATGTAGGGGTCTCCAAAGCAATTTTGGAAAAGGCTGGACAAAATGTGGAAACAGAATGTTCTCGCCTAGGTAAGTCACGATGCTGCTTTTCAGTGCTAAAATAAAGTATAAGTGGAAGGCTGAATGTGGGAAGCTGTGGAGAGGGAGACAACATATTAATCTTAAAATAATACATTTTACTAAAGAATTCCACTCATAGAGAACTAGAAATGAAGAGGAGTGAAAAGTGAGATCATGGCTAAAAAGAGAAGGTAAGCGAGACAGATTCATAAGAGGTAGTGTTTCAGGAGTCTCTTATTGGTGTAAAATGCTTTATTTGCCAAAGCAGACAATCAGAGAGTAGGTTCAGCATCTGATTTTGCATCTTTCTGTTTTGTGTTTCTTAGCTCAACAGCACAACAATGGTTATATAATTACTGATGGTGGATCACTGAATTGCAAGAATATTATTCATGTCGCTGGGGAAGCTGATGTCAAGAGATCAGTTACCTGTGTTTTGCAAGAGTGTGAAAAACTGAATCACTCGACCATTTGCCTCCCAGCCATTGGGACAGGTTGGTAGCCTCCCAAGGCTAACTTCTTAGGTGTCCCTTTTCCCTTTGATTTCCTGCTGACTTGAATGCAGTTGATGCTGAGTCTGAGTAAGGGCAGCTTCCTCACCCCAAGGCACTCACTGGGGGAATGAGCAAGACATCTGCTCTCTAATATGGAGGGGAAGAGAGAGGAAGGGAAAGGAACAAAGAGAAAGAATGGCCATCTCCTTCTCTTTTCACTGGTTCCTTTCTCTTTTGCCACCTCTTCCATATCCCCCATTATTTAGTACTTAACCTTCCCCTCCATCCCCTCTCCATGGAGAACATCAGTGCATCGCCTCCCACCTCCCTGTAACTGACTCCCAGATGAGCATTGCCAAGCCTCTTCTCTCAGCTCTTGAGCAGTGGCTGTGCAGGTTGGCCTTAGGGCATCTCTGCACAGAAACCTTTCAATCACCTTAACCCAGTGGGTTCTAATGGGTCAGAAACTCAACTCACCACCTTTCTCTTCTCAGCCTACTTGCCTCTTTCAAGTTTCCTGTTTTCCTCTAACTATATAATGATTGTATGATGGATTCTCCATATAGAAAGATGTGCTTTGGGTTTATCATTCCTAAGGTTATGCTCTTTGAACTCTTTTCCCAGGAATTTGAGTTCTATACATTGATTAGGAGTTTGTGCTTGGTCTCCCTTAAGAGAGCTGGTCAGGGGATGCAAATTCCTTCAGGCTTGAAGTGGAATGGAGCTGACCCGTTCCAGAGCGGGACCACTCGGCCCGGATTGATCATTCCATTGCTCAGGAATCTAAGTATGAATGTCTGCACTCTCCTGGTAGGCCCTCCAAAAGTTAAACCTCAATAAACTCACCCATCCTTGTCACTTTCTGGACCTTCTTCCAATCCTGTGTCCCACATTTTGATTTGTGTAATTCCTCTTAAAGTTTCCAAATGGAATGCTATGTCTACTTTATTACTTTCCTATTTCTAAAAGTATAATCTATTGCCCCTTTATGTTTTCATTCTCCTGTAGTGTCATCCAACCCTAGCACATCAGCCAACATGTTATCTATCATCTATCTATCTATCTATCTATCTATCTATCTATCTATCATCTGTCATGTCTTGTGGAATCCATTAATGATTCTCTAGTCTTTGTTTCATTTGCTGTTTCCTCCTTGTTCTGGTCTTGTATTTCTATCTTAACTTTATTTGTGACAAAAAAGCAACAGCCCAGGGTTAGCATAGACCTGCCCAAGGGAGTATCTAAGTAGAATCAAAAAAGAAACAAGGAAATGAGGCTGGTTTAGTTTTGTATAAATATGTATGCATGTTTGAGTATTTCTGCATTACTGCAAACCTTTTGTTTCTTCTATCAACTGTATGGCATTGCTGTTCTGCACAAATAAATGCACATTAGCAGGTTCTCCTTGCTTATCTTCTTTACCTATCTCTATCACCACCTGAGCTGGTTCTTAGACTAATAGATGGGAACACTTTCTCTCTTAGCAGTGTTTTATGAGTTGAGTTTGACTGGGAGGGATCTAGACAGCTTTTGGCCTTAAAGGACGCCCTCTACCCAGTACCTACAGATATCTCTTTCAAGTTTCCTGTTTTCCTCTAACTATATAATGACTGTGTGATTGATTCTCCATATACAAAGATGTGCTTTGGGTTTATCATTCCTAAGGTTATGCTCTTTGAACTCTTTTCCCAGGAATTTGAGTTCTATACATTGATTAGGAGTTTGTGCTTGGTCTCCCTTAAGAGAGCTGGTCAGGGGATGCAAATTCCTTCAGGCTTGAAGTGGAATGGAGCTGACCCGTTCCAGAGCGGGACCACTCGGCCCGGATTGATCATTCCATTGCTCAGGAATCTAAGTATGAATGTCTGCACTCTCCTGGTAGGCCCTCCAAAAGTTAAACCTCAATAAACTCACCCATCCTTGTCACTTTCTGGACCTTCTTCCAATCCTGTGTCCCACATTTTGATTTGTGTAATTCCTCTTAAAGTTTCCAAATGGAATGCTATGTCTACTTTATTACTTTCCTATTTCTAAAAGTATAATCTATTGCCCCTTTATGTTTTCATTCTCCTGTAGTGTCATCCAACCCTAGCACATCAGCCAACATGTTATCTATCATCTATCTATCTATCTATCTATCTATCTATCTATCTATCTATCATCTGTCATGTCTTGTGGAATCCATTAATGATTCTCTAGTCTTTGTTTCATTTGCTGTTTCCTCCTTGTTCTGGTCTTGTATTTCTATCTTAACTTTATTTGTGACAAAAAAGCAACAGCCCAGGGTTAGCATAGACCTGCCCAAGGGAGTATCTAAGTAGAATCAAAAAAGAAACAAGGAAATGAGGCTGGTTTAGTTTTGTATAAATATGTATGCATGTTTGAGTATTTCTGCATTACTGCAAACCTTTTGTTTCTTCTATCAACTGTATGGCATTGCTGTTCTGCACAAATAAATGCACATTAGCAGGTTCTCCTTGCTTATCTTCTTTACCTATCTCTATCACCACCTGAGCTGGTTCTTAGACTAATAGATGGGAACACTTTCTCTCTTAGCAGTGTTTTATGAGTTGAGTTTGACTGGGAGGGATCTAGACAGCTTCTGGCCTTAAAGGAAGCCCTCTACCCAGTATCTACAGATATCTGCCCTCAGGGAGAGAATGGGTGGTCAGTGATTCCTGCAAGCACCTCAAGTTCAATGAAAACTCCAAACCCAATTCACTGTCTTCTCTCCTAGAAAACTTACCTGCTGTTATATTAGTTAAACTTACCTGATTATATCACCTTCTATTTAAAATCCTTGACTCTACCTTCTTTATCACTCCCATGTGTATTAGTTCTTTTAATTAGTTTTATTAAATGTTTTCTGAGTGACTGCCGTGTGCCAGGCACCGTGCTGAGGCCTGGAGGACATAAGGATGACTAAGAAAAGGATCCAGTCCACAAGAACCACCTAGTTCATTGTGAGACAGACATGTAAGCAAACAACCACAGTACTGTGTGCCCATGGTATACACATGATGGTGTGCGGGTGGCGAAAGAAGGTACATTAGGTCAGGTAAACAGGCCTGGTATACAGGCAGTTGGTCCCTAGGTCCTCCTGACTTTATTTCCTGAATATCTCCTTGCTCTGGTCCCCTTTTTATTTAGCTCTTGTCTTTGCCTAACCTTTTATTATAGCCTCCTATCTAGAAGTGGGTTCTCTGCTCCAGTGCTTCCTATACCCCCCACCACTGGCATTGTTGGCCTTCCAGACTTATTTTTCTCAAAAACAGATCTATTTCCCTGAACACACCAGATGAGGTTGCACATATCACACCCCTGTTACACAGTTCTAGGCTTTCCTTCAGTTTTCCATACTTCACCTATTGAACACCATATTTGTTTACATATTATATGCATGGTGTCCTACGTGCCTAGGTGAGCATCTAGCTTTTGATGGGACACATTAAATATTTGTCTAAAGTAAGTGACTATATCTAAACACTCCTATTTAAATTCATCCAAATATCATGAGATAACCACAGCTTTGCAAAGAAGAATTTCCCCCTTTCTCTGCTCATCTAATCCTATTTAATAAAAGACAAGAAGGCTAATTAACCTTACCTCTGCTACGCTTCCCATTGGCTAATCAGCAAGATATGCAAATTAACTGCTAACAAAGATGGCGGCCGGCAGCCACGCAGCTGAAGCAAGCAGGAGGTTTGCTTGCTCCAGTGATGGAGGAAGCCAAGGTTCCTTGCCTTCCACAGCCTGCTCTAAGCGCCGAAAGCAACAGCTCCAAAAGCAACAAAGTTTCAATTATAGAAGCTAAACAAATCCCAAATACCTGCTTTCAGCCAGCTGCGGCCTCAGAGCCGGAGCGAGCTGGACGGCAACAAAGTTTCAATTATAGAAGGTAAATGCATCCCCGACTAAAAAAGAAAAAAGAAAAAAAGGAGAGGCTAGGAGCTTCAGTCACAGGCCAGCCTGAAAACGGCCCTCAGCCCCTCACCCAGACTGGCCACACATCCCAGTGGGCACCCCCACCCTGAAGGGGGTTTGGCCAGCCTGAAAACAGCCATGAGCCCCTCATCCAGGCTGGCCACACATCCCAGTGGGCACCCCCACCCTGAAGGGGGTTTGGCCAGCCTGAAAACAGCCATGAGCCCCTCATCCAGGCTGGCCACACATCCCAGTGGGCACCCCCACCCTGAAGGGGGTTTGGCCAGCCTGAAAACAGCCATGAGCCCCTCATCCAGGCTGGCCACACATCCCAGTGGGCACCCCCACCCTAATCTGGGACACCCTTCAGGGCAAACCAGCTGGCCCCCACCCATGCACCAGGCCTCTATCCTAAATAGTAAAAGGGTAATATGCAAACTGACCCTAACAGCAGAAAGACTGGGAATGACTGGTGACTATGACACACACTGACCACCAGGGGGCAGATGCTCAATGCAGGAGCTGTCCTCTGGTGGTCAGTGTGTTCCCACATGGGGGAGCTCTGCTCAGTCACAAGCCAGGCTGATGGCTGCCAGTACAGCGGTGGTGGTGGGAACCTCTCTTCCCTCCTTAGCAGTGCTAAGGATATCCAACTGCAGCTTAGATATGCTCCCCGCTGGCAAGTGGACATCCCCCGAGGGCTGCCGGGCTGCCAGAGGGATGTCTGATTGCCAGCTTAGGCCCAATCCCCTGGGGAGCAGGC